TCAAACAGTCAAACCCATCACTTCTACAATTCCAACACCAACCGATTCCAACCGGGTCAATGAGTCAACCCGCTTTCATTCCTGAAAACCAACACGTTTCACTTCTCCCCCAACTTCAACACCAAAACCCGTTCACAATGGGTCAATTCGGGTCAACTTCTCAGTCAAACTTCTCGGATTCAGACGGAAACCTTTTAGGCCCGTTTTCACACGATGAAACCTCACAACTTCTTAACATCCCTCGCTCCGCTTCCTTGTTGACTTCCACGGGTTGGCCCGCGAAACGGGTCGCGGTTGACCCGTTACTTGTATCCGGAGCTTCACAATCTCTTCTTCACCAAGTCGAGCAACTCGGCCCACCAAATACGGGTCTCACCCAAAACACAAACCTTTCACAAACCGCGGTTTCTTTACCTCCGTTTCCGGGTCGAGAGTGCTCCATCGATCAAGAACCGAATAATAACGACCTGCAAAGTCATAATAATATCTTGTTTGGAGTCAACATCGATAACTCAAATCTTTTAGGGTTATCGAATCCATTCGCGTCTTCCAATGATTTTTCCATGAATGCGATGTTGACACCTTCGAGTTGTATCGACGGGTCGGGTTTTATACAATCTCAAGAAAACACGGGTCAAACAAACCCACCCACTCGAACCTTCGTTAAGGTGAACTTTTTCAACATTTTGGTAGTGATGAGCGATGACCAGTTTATGGTTTAGGGTTTAGGGTTTTGCTATTGTTTGATATTTGGTTTTTTATATCTTTTTATAGGTTTATAAATCGGGGTGTTTTGGGAGATCACTCGATATAGCAAAATTTAGTAGTTACCATGAGCTACGAAGTGAACTCGCACAAATGTTTGGCCTTGAAGGCCAATTGGAGGACCCTTTGAGATCAGGCTGGCAGCTTGTATTTGTTGACCGAGAGAATGATGTTCTTCTCCTCGGTGATGACCCTTGGCCGTAAGTTCCCATTTTTACCAATTTATGCAAATATTATTTGTTATTATATATATATATATATATATATATATATATATATATATATATATATATTTTTATCAATTTATGCAACTGACACGAATTATGCAACCAAACAGGGAGTTTGTGAGCAGTGTATGGTGTATCAAGATACTATCGCCGCAAGAGGTGCAACAAATGGGGAAACAAGGTCTCGAGCTTCTTAACTCGGTTCCAATACGGACTCCATCGCGACAAGAGTCTATGAATCTGAGCACTGGCGTTGCATCAGTCAGTTCGTTAGAATACTAGCGAACTGACGCAACGCCATGTGATGTTGGTTGGATTCATGGTTTGTGTAACTTTAGTGGCAATTCTCGTCATGACACACGAGGGAATTGTTTGATTTTAAGGTTTAGGTACTTATGAAAACCGAAATTGTAATTAATATGATCGCTCTATCGATGTGTTTGGACTTTGGACAATATGCAAGACCTTGTATTATGTTTCAATTAGGAAGTTACGGGTTTGAGTCTTAGTAGCTATTGTGGGAGTTTAAGTTCCAATATGGATTGGGTTCCTCAGTAAGTTATTATATTATGAAACTAGAAGGATAATGTATATTTATGGAAATAGTTGAGGGTTTTGTACTTTGTACTACCAAATGGGGAATGAATTAATGAGACCGAAATCACGTATAATTAGTTAGGACATTTCAAAAGTTTTTTTTTTTAAATACCTATAATTATGATAAACTCATTATTTTAATAAATGGTAAATGAATATTTTTTTTAGTATGGAATAATTTTAAAGTAATAATAAAATTAATGACATATTATGAAAAATGTACAAATAGTTTTGTCTCCTAAATCCTTACAAGTTTGGTCATTTTCAACTTTCAAGTTTCAACTATAGCCCGCAATTTAATAGTGCACAGTGGACTGATTAGATGACACTGCTCCGACATATAAAGAACTAAAGAAGGCTTCAAATTAGTTGAAAGCAAATTACTAGATCCAAATTTATATTATAATATGATTATTTTAAATACAGAATACTCCCTTTATTTATGAATGTTGGTCCTTCTAGGTTTTCTTTTAGATATTTATCATTTTAGTAATCTAAAAACTATTAAAGCTGTATATTTATTTTAAATAATTACAAGTTAATAACTTTAGGAGGTTATCTGCATATGTTTTCCCAAAGTGATGATATAATACTTAATAAATAGAGGGGACATTCACAAAAGTACCACATGAGATTGTAGAATAAAGGGAAAATGACCAAAGTTTAGTTTAGTTTGACAGTTTCTATAAGATGTGACTTAAAATGTTCAGAACATTTTAGACCAACTATTTAGATAATACATTTGCTTTTTCTGACATAAATTGGACTTAAAATGTTTTGTACTATATTTCAGTTTCTGAATCATATTTTGGACTCATATTCATTTTAGAGTTCGGAACATTTTTCAGGTTTGGACATACTTATCGTTACTACTACTGCGAATATAGTTTATCTCCAACTAAAAATGAGTTCATCCACATGACTTGCAAATCATATATCTGATTTCGAAAAGGGGTTGGCTAGACTTTAACGCATAGTTTTGAGTCAACTCAAACATATTGACAATATTGGTCATGATAAATGGGTAAATAACGTTTTTCCCTAGTATGTTGTAATACAATGACTTATAACATTGTCGATGACATGTACATGTTGTCAACAAATGAACAAAATATAATGGTAACAACGTTCAGTTAAGATTTTATGCGGCATTATTTAACATTCGTATTCTCAAAGACATGTTGGCGTAAGTACATATATGAACATAAACATACACCTACCTTTTAGTGTCATTAATAATGATTTTATTATTTAAGAAAATATGAAAAAAAAAAAACATCTCTAAAAGTTTATAAAATGAGGTTAAAGTAAGGTGTAAATATTTTATTCCTTGAGATTTAGTTTTGTTACGATTATAAAACAGGACTATAAACTTGAACTCTTGAACGATCTTCTGCCTACATTTGAAAATGGTTTGCCTAGCTAGTTCATATGATTTTCAAGTATTGGTTGGGCCTAGCTAGTTCATATGATCTTCTGCCTAGTGTTGAAATTATCCCTAAATCAACAAATTTGTTCGTATATAATTCGTCATTGTTATAAAAAAAATTATATTGTTTTGTCTGTTATCTGGCTTATAAATATTGTATTTTATTTGATAAACAATGATTGTAAATGAGTGAACCACAAAAGCCATGCATTATTACACACCCACCGGCCTAGCCTAGCTTATATAGTGGTAGCTCACTAGCCTTTGTTTCATTCAATTCAAGTGCTAAACATTGGACGCCGATATATGAAAGCCTAAAAAGTAATAATTATATTATTTCGATATGAAAGCATCTAATTTATATTATATTTCAGAGTCGAATTGTTTTGATGTGTGTATTTACTACTTTTAGGCTGAAAGGAGTCGAAGTGCCAAACAAACTCGCCATGGTCGCTAACTCATTTGGAACAGGCTCGTCATGGATCATTCGCTGCCAGCTTAAGGAGATGTGAGAGAGTATTTGTTTGGCTTGTGATTGGATGAAGGGTATTTGACCGGATTGCATGCCCATTCCTCCGTTTTTGGCAGATGGGAGGTGTCGAAGCTTTGATTTTTGTTGCTAAAACTTGAGTTTTGCGTTAACAGATTGGGAAAGAGAATTGGGGAAGAAGATAAAGAATTTATATATTTGGTCCCCAAAGTTTCTACAACTTGGTATTTTTTGTCCCAAAGTTTAAACAACTTGGTATTTTTTGTCCAAAAACATAAACCTTTTTATTTAGATTATGTTTTCAATTTTAGTAATCTTTTTTATTTAAATATTAAGTGCTTGTATTTAAAAAAATAGAATTTTTGTAATATTAAATGTTTGTGCATTAAAAAAATATAATTTAATTAAATTTGAAAAAGAAAATAAAAAAATGAAATGCTAGGAGTGTTACCACTCCCTATGAAATGCTAAAAATTAGGTGTTAAGACAAAAAAAAATGACGTGGCATTTAAAAAAGTGACATGGCAAGGTGTTAAATGTGTTACCATTCCCTTTAGCCTTAACACATTCTTATAAGAAGTAACTATATGATTAAATATAAAAAAAAAAGATATTTCCATCCATGTAAATGTAATTTTAACTTGAAGCTTTACAATTTTTAGGCTCATTCATCCGTTTTTATGCTCATAATACGTACGAGTTTCAATAAACAAAATGACACACGGAGGGAGGCATATAGAGATCCCCGTTGTGGCGTTATATATAACGTCGTCACGATAATCAAGTAACATTTAAAAAACTATTTATTCCCTTCATGAGAATTTGAAATTCCATTCAATAATCCTCGTATATTAATATTATTTTTCTCAGATTAATACCATTTAATTCCGCCGGAATTTTCAGACTCTATCATCCAAAGTCTCTTCTTTTTATATAATTGTTTTAGGGGTTGGCTAAAATAAACCCAATTTTTTCATATAGATAGACTTTTTGGTTTTTAAGATATTTTTATTGCTAGAATTATTGTTTTCCGAAAATATAAATTATAAATAGTTTATTACAAGTTGATTTTTAATAAAAATGTTAATAGAATGTCTAAGGGTGTCAATTTAGCATCACCTCTTGTTAAAATGCTAAATCAAAATAAATAGAAAAATAGGTCATTTATAGAAAATTAATAACTTGAGGTTTAATCTGAATAAAAAAATATAATATATTAAGTTTTTTATAATATTACCTAAGTAATCCAATATTCTAATTTTCCATTATTTATGAAAAAGCTAAAATACATTTAATAAACGTAATAAATTTTTGAAAAAGCATAAAGGAAGAAATTAGAAAAATGAGATTTTATTCTAAAAACATGAGAGAGTAGTCAAAGTGCAAAGTAGGCGGTCAAAAAAGAATTTTTCCTAGAAAGTACAACCCACCCACCCACATGCTTCCTACTTTGACCATTCCGAAAGGGACCATTTTATTTAATCATTTAATTATTTAAATATTTAATTTTAAAAAAATAATAAAAATAATTGGGGTGCCACCAACAACTGCCATTAACTCACTCCACTTCAATTCAAATCAGTAAGTAAATCACCCTTTCACTTGTGGTTTTTGCCGGATCTTGAAACCCAAACAACAAATTATACATCAAACACAAGTCAATTCCATTAATCAAAAACCACACTCTAATTTGGTGTCTTTTTTTTTTATGACCAGCCGCAGCAACTGTGCGGCGATGATGGCGGAATCCGGCCAGTTTGCCGGATGTATTCCGCCTGTGCCGCCGCACGTGCCGCCCGCCGGCTCTTTTGGGCTTCCGCTGCCGCCCTTTTCGCTTCCGATTTCTGCCTTGAAATTGCAATCTTTTTCAACATTTTTGCTTGTGCATGTGCCCTCTTTTCTTCCACTTCAACCTAAAAAAAAAAATCACAAATTTATTTAATTTTATAAAATTTCCTTCGTTTCTTTTATAATTATTATGGCAAATTTGAACATAAAAAAAATAAAAATAAAAATGCAATCAAATTTACCTCTATTCTTCTCATTTCTGCTTCAAGTTTTGCTTTCTGTTGACTCTCCCATGCTTGAATTTTTATCTCTTCGCGTATAAATCTGAACATACATCACAAATAATTTTTATAAAAAAAAACATTTATGAAAAATAATAAATGACCATTTTACCCTTGCGTTTAAAAACACATACCTTGCATTATGTTTGGATTTCTCGGCATCTTCCCAAGCAACCGCGCGTTTCTCAAACTCAACCCGCAATGCCTCTTCGGCCAAAATGTCTGTTTCGCCCTCCACCGCTTTCTTTTCCGTGTCCTCTTTACTTGCCCAAGCCGCAATGTTCATCTTCCCGAGTTGTACCCCTAGCTGTAAAATTTCCTTCCGTGTTCTAAGTTTGACTTCTTGCTCGGTCAACTCTTTTGGATTCCGTGACTCATCATGCTCCACGGGAGTGGAATTGGGTACTCCTCTTCCTCTTCGGGGTGTTGATGGAATTGAAGAATTTGGACTCCGAAGAGGCGTTGTGGCCCCCACAGGTGTGGAAGTCATTGAAGGCTCTTGACTTGGAATTGGAGTCATTTCCGTTCCCATGTCTCTCATCGAAACCGATCTTACTTCATGACAACCTACATTCCATCATTTTTTAATAATCAATTAATCAGTAAATTACATTTTTTGGTCCTAAAAACTTTTCTTTTGCAATTTTGATCCTTATTTCAAGGTTTTTTGTCCTTGTTCCAAGTAAAATGACAAATTTTGGTCCCTATAAAAATATAGACATTTTACTTGGATCAGGGACCAAAAACGTTACAAAAACTTCAATAAGGACGAAGATTGAAAAAATATGCTATCACGAGGGGACCAAAATTGAAATTTACTCTTAAAAGTGAAAAGAATATGAGTGGATTACAATTTGGCTCTTATGTGGGATTTCTTTTTATGGAGATGGTAAATAAGTTTCATTTTTTTTTGCCTATTGTACAAAATATTTTACTTGTTACAATTTTCGTTCATGTACTATGTTACTTTTTATGGACCTAGTACAAAACTTCCATTTCCAATATTTTTTGTAAGGGTATTCACTATTATAACAAAATATATTAGTAATTATAAATTTTGGCCTTGTACTATAGTACTTTTAAATTTTAATGGACATGGTACATAAATTTCATTTATTTGCCTTTATCGTCCCTAAAACTAACCTTTTGTAGGTTTTTTTTTATCCCTGACTCGGTTGTTAAGTAAATGTAAAATGACCATTTTGCCCTCATCTTTTTCACAAATACACCAGGGAGGAAACCTTAAAAATTACAATAATTACACTATAAAATTTCTTTTTTTTGATATGCTGGCATTCACATAGGTCCACCCATGTAATTATATAACCTATGTTTTATATTTCACATGGTATACAATAAAAGACCATTTTACCCTCGGTCAAACTGTGACATGCAAGATTAAAAGGGAAAAAATGACGATGAAATACCTGTTTTATCCTCGTTTGAACTCGGTCCACATGATGACTCTCTGTTGTCAACCTCTTTCAAGTCTTTACTTTCAGGACACGGATCGATTGACTCACTGAGTCCACTCGCCTGACCAGAAACGGGCTCATCTTGTGACTCGGAAGGTGTAAAAGAAAACTTCTCAGACACCATTTGTTGACAAAAATCGACCCGTTTGATGGAACTAACAGCTGCCCGATTTGCCCGGTTTTGCAAGGTGTTTTTTGCATTATGATTATGCAAATTTTGCCTATTGATTATCCATTTTTCAGCATCATTCCATTTAGAAGACATGGGTCTCAAAAGGGATCTTGAAATTGCATTATGGGTGGATCTTTGTTCGCCTTTATGAAACTCAAAGCTTGAAGAACTTGCATTACTATCATAATCAAGATTTTCATCTTCTAATGATCTTAAAGGGTGAACTGAACTCGAATTACTGCTATCTGCTTTTTGAAATTGATGGGGTTTTGCCCGACTTTCTTTTGGCTGCCCGGGACCCTGACCGATTTCTGTGCTGTCAAATGTCAGTGAAGAATTTGCCATGGCAGAACCTGCAATTTGAGGACCATTTTGAACATAAAAAGTGTATGAATTTACAGTCACAAAAAGCAAAACTTTGGCTTAAAGTACTTTACTCAAAAGCTAAAGATTAAGATAGTTCAACATCAAAAAGGATAAACAGAAGAAATAGCAATGTATTTTTATTTAATCCTGCTTTCATTCCCCTATTATATAGCCTCATACTTCTGATTATTATTTGATATTTTGAAGAATCTAGCTGATTAAAGCAGTGAAAATTACTTTGTATGTCAAAGTATAATAAACAAATCAATGAATTAAAGTGATTATTCTGACTCGAAGATTGGAAATCAGATAATACGTAATTAATTAATCTGTTTAAAAGTGTATCCAAACACATCCTTAATAGCATCAACATCACCAAAGGTTTTAGGGTTTTCTTTTATGAAGAGGATATGGAAAACCACATTCAATAAGTAAATGATTACTGAAATAGTTTAGAGAAATACTTGAAACACACACCTTCCTCATCAGAAACTCCAGAATTTGAAGCTAACAAACTGTTCTTCACAAACTCTGTATCTTCAAGTTTAGAAGGAGAAGTTCTTGCTGAATTGCTTTTTGATCCTCCGTCTTTTTTCCTCTGCCCCATCAGCTTCATCCTCAGTTTACTTGGAGATATTATCCCAACCTAAATGGATTGAATAAACAAAAACTCATCACGGATATTCGATTGATTGATTAAAACAACAGAAAACAGACGAAGACACATTAATTTAGCTCTCGTTATTGATCAATACCAGAAGAAACTGACAAATTTTATAGACTAATTTACGAAAAGCCCACAACAAAAAAAAGACCCCCACAAATGTGGATTAAACGGGAAGACGAACTGATTCCACAAAAAACAGAAGATTCGAAAGAGGAATCCGAGTGATGAACAGAAACCAGAAACGCATTGGAATATAAAAATAAACAAGTACGATATTTCGCACCAAAATAATGACGATTGAATGAAGATATCTTTCTTGACTCAATCAGTCTGTTGGTACGGAGGTTGCGTGTAGGTCAAAATGAACAGAGGGAGCTGCTACTGATTTCATTGACTACATTTGCAGCATAGTAAATTAGCGAGAAGAACAGGAGAAGTTTTACCTGAAGCTTGTGAATCCTCTCGTACTCCATTAGATCCTCTATAATCAAC